GGCCACCCCCCCCCCCCCCCCACCCAGTCTCCACTGCATCATGTTCCCATCCTGACGACAGCGGGCATCCTGGTGCACTGTGGCACCGTGGCCACCCTTGGGTGCTGAGCCCCTGGAGGGGGACAGGGTGTCCCGGGAGGGGGGGGTCCCGGCTGGGAGAAGGGGACACAAGGGGCCGTGGGTGGCTCTGTGGCGCAACGGAGAGCGCGTTGGACTTCTAGCAGCAGCAGGCGGCATTCAAAGGTTGTGGGTTCGAGTCCCACCAGAGTCGCTGCTTTTGCTGGGCAAGGGATGGGACAGCAGGGTCGTCCCCAAGGGATGCGGGGTCAGCCCCAGACCACCATGGGAAGGAAATGCCAGGTCGGCTGTGGGGGACATGGAGTTGTCCCCAAGGGATGCAGGGTCAGCCCCAGACCACCATGGGAAGGAAATGCCAGGTCGGCTGTGGGGGACATGGAGTTGTCCCCAAGGGATGCAGGGTCAGCCCCAGACCACCATGGGAAGGAAATGCCAGGTCGGCTGTGGGGGACATGGAGTTGTCCCCAAGGGATGCAGGGTCAGCCCCAGACCACCATGGGAAGGAAATGCCAGGTCGGCTGTGGGGGACATGGAGTTGTCCCCAAGGGATGCAGGGTCAGCCCCAGACCACCATGGGAAGGAAATGCCAGGTCGGCTGTGGGGGACATGGAGTTGTCCCCAAGGGATGCAGGGTCAGCCCCAGACCACCATGGGAAGGAAATGCCAGGTCGGCTGTGGGGGACATGGAGTTGTCCCCAAGGGATGCAGGGTCAGCCCCAGACCACCATGGGAAGGAAATGCCAGGTCGGCTGTGGGGGACATGGAGTTGTCCCCAAGGGATGCAGGGTCAGCCCCAGACCACCATGGGAAGGAAATGCCAGGTCGGCTGTGGGGGACATGGAGTTGTCCCCAAGGGATGCAGGGTCAGCCCCAGGCTGCTGCAGGATGGAGGCAGGCAGGTGGCCCCAGGCTCCCCACAGGGGCAGGAGAGCCCCTGGGGGTGAAACGGCCCCAGGGCAGCACCAGAATGGCCGAGTGGTGAAGGCGTTGGACTTAAGATCCAATGGACATGTGTCCGCGTGGGTTCGAACCCCACTTCTGGTAGCCAGCAGCTCTGTTTTCCTGCCTGGCCGTGTGTGCTGAAGCAGCCGGGCGCCCAGTCCTGTCCTGGGTCCCCCATCCCTACTGGGGACCACAAACTGCACCAGGACCCTGCAGCGCACCAGAGACCCAACTGCCCCTGGGCAGTGGCACCTGGGTGAAGGAGGCTGGGTGCTTGTGTCCCCACCTTACAAGGGCTTCCTCATGGACCACCCCCCTCCCTGGGGAGCAGTGGGTGCACCCCTGGCACCCATGGGTGCTGGCACCTGGCTCTAGGGTGCAATGGAGAGCGCATTGGGCTTTTAGCCAATCATAAGACAATCAACAGTTTGAGTCCCACCAGGGTCATGCCCCCTTTTGGGGGCACCCCAGCGGTGGGCACCCTCCTTAGGCAACCTATCCTTAACACGGTCCTGCACCCCCGCAGCTGGGGAGGGGGGGGCACCAGGTGCCTATGTGACACCTGGGGACTTTGTGGGACATAGGGTGCCTGCAATGAGAGCTGGGGAGCTTGGTGTGCCCACGGTGACACCTGGGCAGCCTGTGGGCCACTGGGGGCATGAGGGGCAGGGGGTGACATCAGGGCACCCTGTGGGACATGGTTTCCCCCAGGCAGTACAGGGTCCTGTGTGTGGCATTGTGCCTTGGGCCCTGGAGACCCCAGCAGACAGGGACACTTTGGTCCCATTGCTGTCGCCCATGCAGCAGCCACGTGGCCAGCCCAATCCCCATGTCCCAGCACGCCAAGCCCTTGGGAAGGGGCCTGGCCACCCTCCGCCCCTCCAAAAGTGGTGGCTGCAGGCCCGGCTACCAGAAGTGGGGATCGAACCCACGCGGACACATGTCCATTGGATCTTAAGTCCAACGCCTTCACCTCTCGGCCATTCTGGCATGCACAGAGCGACACCATGGCCACCCTGCTCTGCCAGGGACCCAGGTGTCCAGGCCTGGCCAGGACTGGCCTGGGTTGGGGTCATCACAGCAGCTGCAGGTGCAGCAGGGCCCATGCTCATCTCTTCAGACACCACATGAGCCCCACTGTGGCCAGGGCATGGATGCCAGGAGCAGGTGACCCTTCTCCTCCAGAGCCCTTGGGCATGGTGACACCTGCCCTGAGTGATGGTCCCTGGGGGGCACAGCTATGAGACAAGAAAAAGAGGAGGAGGAAGAGGAGGAGGAGGAGGAGGAGGAGGAGGAGGAAGGCCTGGGGAACCATGTTCATCTTAGCACGGAGCGAAGGGCTTTCCCAGAGCCCGGATAGCTCAGTCGGTAGAGCATCAGACTTTTAATCTGAGGGTCCAGGGTTCAAGTCCCTGTTCGGGCGGGTGAGGTTCCCCTTTTGTACCTTCTGCTTGTGTTTTTGTTTGGCTAGGCATGGCCCCATTGCCCCAGGCAGGGGCTGTGCAGGGGGCCCCCGGCACCAAGGTGGTCATGGCCCTGCAGAGGCACCTGGGTAGGGGGACCTGGCACAGGGCTGCTGGGGACACAGGGGCTGGCAGGCAGTGCTGCCTCAGGGGCCAGGAGAAGACCCCCCCCCCCCCCCGCCCAAAGCCACGTTAGGGTCAGCGTGATCGTGGCAGCATGGGGACAAACCCTGGACTTGGGTAGGTGCCCAGAGAAGAGCCCGTGCCGCTGCACCCCACAGGCCCCCTGGGGCAAGGCACCCTCACCTCACACAACACACGCAACCAGGTTGGGGCATTCACAGGTTTTAATTTAGTTCTCGTGGAAGGAAAAAAAAGAAAGAAAAAAAAAGGCATCATACGCCCCTGTTTTTCTGTCATTTTGGGGGATGCAGTGAGCCCCTGCCCACAGAGATGCCCCCTAGAAGGGCAGCACTGCTCCCACATTGTGTTTGGAGGTGCAGAGGCCCCCTGCTCACCAGCAATCCCCTCCCTCCCACCCCTGGCTGAGTGTCTCCACCCGACTGTAGTGTTTGGGGATGCAGGGACCCCTGCTCACCTGCTCCACAGAGAACTCCCACCTGGAGGGCAGGAAGGGGATGGGTAAGGGGAGACGGACATGGGCCACCGTGCCACGCTGCCTCTACCAGGGGAGGGTAGTGGGCACAGAACAGCCTAGCACAGCCCGCTGATGCCCAGGGCTGCCCACACACAACCGAGGATCTCCCTTTCCCCTACATAACCTACGAGGAAGGCACCTCGAGAAGGAAGCCCCAGCCTGGGAGGAGCGGTGTGGCCAGGAAGGCTGGGGGACAGGGCACTCCAGGCCCTGAGGCAGGGGTAGGCCAGGTGCCCGCTCCCCTCAAGTGCCGCAGAGCTGCAGGGGAAGAACGGGACCAGGGGCCCCAGTAGCTCTCTATATATCTTATCATATACACCTATAGACCAGGCTGCAGGGCAGGGCAAGGGGCACCCAGGAGCCCAGGCACCCTGAGCGGAAGAGAGCACCTGGCCACCTGGGGGCAGAGGAAACAGGGAAGGAAATGAGAGGGTGGGCAGAGACCAAGGCCAGCCTCAGGCTCTCCCCCGCGGTGCCTCCCGCCCCAGGCAGAGGTGGCACCCTGTCCTCCCTGGGAGTCACGCTTGCCTCCCGCTCCTGGGTGTGCATGTTGAGGGGCCATGTCCTGGCACCCCAGGGAAATGCACAGGGTGTGATTTACCCCCTGCTGGGGAGGGGCGCTGGGGCCGGGCTGTGCACAAGTGCGGACGTGTGGGATGGAGGGGGAAAACCCCCGAGGGAGCAAACACAGGGCTGGGCTGGCTCCTGCTGCCCACCCCGGCATCAAGGTCAGTTTGGATCGGCTAAGGCAACCCCGGCAGGCGAGCGCAGCTGGTGCTCGCAGCGACACATGAGGACGGACAGGCAGTTAAGACAGACGGACAGACAGATGCGTGCTGCGGAAAGCGCCACGCGATGCTGGCCCAGCGCAGCTGCTCCCCTCGCAGTCAGCTCGCCTTCACCCTGCTGTTCCTCCCACTGCCAGCTCAGAAAATGTCCGGGCACAAGGTCCAGTCCTGCTTCTCTTTGCTCTCCCAGTAGCCACCCTTGTAGACGTGCGTCAGCTCCTGGGTGATGGGGTCCTTCTTGCGCTCGAACCACAGCGGCTTGTAGGGGTCATAGGGGGTGCCTGGGGGCGGCGAGTGGGTTAGGGACACGTGGCCAAGCAGGCAGCAGGATGTGGGGTGGGGGCCCACCTGTACCCTCCTTACCGTCCTCTGTGGCCCTCGCAGCCTCAGCCTCGCGCCTCTTGCGGGAGATGCGCTGCTTCTCCTCCAGCCGCTGCTTCTCAGCATTGGCCTCATCCCAGCGCCCGTTCTCCATGAGGCGCTGGTCGGGGCGCCGGCGGCTGTCTGTGGGTGCTGTGCCGCTCTCTGGGGCGTTGAGCGTCAGCGCCAGCTCCGAGAAGTAATACATGTTCTCCGCGTACTTCCTGCATGTGGAGGGAGGGAGACCTCAGCCAGTGGCACCCCTGCCAGTAGGTTTCATGTCCTGGCCCCTCTCCCCCACAGCTGGGCAGTGGGGTATGAGAGAGGAGCAAGCCCTAGCCCATGGCAGCCTCAAAGCCCAGCTCCTGCCCTTGAAAGAGCGAGCCCTGGCTCTCAGGACATCGCCTTGTCCTGCCCGCTGCAGGCCCATGCCCCCGGCCACCCTACTCACGGGAGGGGGTTCCTTTTCCACAGCAGCACTCGGCTTTCCTCAGCCTCGTGGACCCTCTGACGTCCCTCCGCACCGTTGTCCCCGACACCTGGTATCACCTTGTAGCAGTCCATCTTCTCATCCCAGGTGCCCAGCAAGACAAAATGCACCTTCCCGGCAGGGTCTGTCACCTCCCCAGTGACCTGCCAGGACAGGGGACATGGAGCACTCTGCACTGGGAGGAATGAACAGCCAGAGACACCCAAACCTTCTGCCCTCCTCTCCTACCCTGGAGCCGAGTCAGAACTATTAACCCAGGGAAACCCTGCTGCAGCACACTGCAGACCCACTAAATTTACATGGTTTAAAAGGCAACTGGCAGAAGAAAAGACAGAGCTCTGCCTGAAGGTTATTAGACCCTGAATCATGACATCCAGGAGCCCTGAGTTTGCCCTTGATCTACAACCCCCAGAGTGCTTGCAGCCAGGAGCATCGCATCTGGGCCATCCCCATCCTCATCTAGGGCAGACGAACCTCTTTCACACCAGGGAGCCTCCACGCCCGGATTGCTCCCCCGGCACCCCACAGCAGTGCACAGTTGCCAGACTACACAGTAACACTGCACTGCAGCCCCATGGCCCCTACCTTCCTCGCCACATCCCGGGAGAAGTAGCTGTAAGGGACGAACTTGAGGATGCACTTGTCACCCGTCTTGTGATTGACGATCTCAATTTCACCTGACTGCAGAAGGGAGGACAAGATTAGACCTGGCCCATGGCCCCTCTCTCCTCCAGTAGTGTGGGGAAACTGAGGCACGGAGCATCGATGCCTCCCCAGGGGCCAGCAGAGACAAGCCCTGGGGCAGTCCTGGCTCCGTGTTGCTCGGGCGTTGTCCTACCTGGTCTATCCAGAGCTTGCCCACAATGATGTTGTGCACGGTGGTTGTGACCTTTTTCCATGTGTAGTGATTGCCGGTGGAGTGGAAGACGCAGTGGATGGTACCTGCGGAGAGGAGGGCTGTGCTGGGAACGGTCCCCTTGAGACTGCCTGTCCCAGTGAAGGGCAAACTGCCACGGGCCAGGATGAGGAGCTGCCTGCTGGTCACGTAGTCGGCTCTCTAAACCCTTCCTTGGGGCTTATCCCATCCTGCACCTCCCAGTCACTCCCCTTAGCACAGTGTTCTTGGCTACCTGGGGCCAATGAGACCAAGGCTGACCACAAAGGGTGCCCGTGGCCACTTGGGCAGGTTTGGGTCCTCCTCTGCTCAGGGGGACAGCCTGGATCCAGGAGGAGATGAGGCTGGAGAAGGAACTGATGGGCACGGCCAAACACAGGTCTTTCTGATGCTGGATTTTGCATGAATTTGTCAGCCACAGCCCCTTAAGCTGGGCCAAACCAGCATGCCAGGAGTGCTTGCATAGCCCTGGGACCACAGACACTTGGTTGGACAAGCCACAGTCCTGCCCCTGCCATGCTCCCACTTAAGCATGTCTCTAATGTCCCATAGAGACATTCTCCCTCCCTGAAGTGCCTCCCTGTGCGATGTGTGCGCATGGAGTCATGGCGCTTACCCAGAGGCATGATGGAGAGGTATTTGCCCCGAAACTTGCTGGTGATTTTAATCTCCTGGCGAAGTGTCCAGCCGTGCTTGGAGTCGACGTGATGGGCAGCCGCTGGTGGGTGGTGACACACCTGGCAGGGAGAGGGGACAAGTTAGCACTGGTGGCGCAGGGTTGGCCAGCAAGCCCAGGGGAGAGGGGCTGGCGGTACCTGCTCGCAGAGGGAGCGGTAGCCATTCTCCTCCAGGCGGTCCAGCTCAAAGGTCTCCCCCAGGAGTGGGTTGAAGGGCTTGCTGGTGCGGAAGACAGTGGTGGAATAGGACGAGACAGTAAAGGCGGCCACGTAGCACAGCTGCTCCAGAGAGCTCTCGCACTTGGCTGCCCGGTCGAGCAGCTCATGGTACTCCAGGTCTTCTGTGAGGCGCTGCAGCATGGACAGCGGCTCGTTGAAGTTCACCTGGGTTAAGAGTGAGAAGTGAGGGAGAGCCCATGGGGTGCACAGTGCCTGCCAGACCGTCCCACCGGCAGCACCCGCAGCTCACCGGCATGGGGATCTTGGATAGCTCCTTCCCAATGCAGTTTTTCATGATGCTCCAGAGGTTGAGGCTGTAGTTGGGTTTGTAGGGGATGCGGGTTCTCTTCTCCTTCTTGGTGTCCTCTAGCTGGTGCTTGTACTGGGGAGGCAGGGGCGAGACAAGGGCCATCGCAAAGCTGCTGTGATCACTCCCCTCCCGCCCCCGGCCTGCTTCACCACAACAACGGCTACACGGGAACCCAGAAGTCCTTGAGCCCGGCCCTGCCTCGCAAGCTCAGAGGCAGCAGCCCCCCTGCCAGCCCTGCTGTCCCAGCTCTCGCTCAGTCCTGCTTTGAGCCAGGTCAGCTGACAAAGCCAGCAGAAAGCCACTGTTTCGGGTTGGGAAGGGTGCAGGGCAGGTGGCAGGACTGCTGGATTGCTCCTTAGCTCCGTGACCCGCCACCTGCTCAGCTCAGGCCTCTCCAGAGGGAGAGGGTGGCTGGTGGCCACCTGGGGCATCCCGCGGTCTGCAGGACCACTCCGCCCCACGGCCCACCTGGTCGTCCAGGCTGATGTCGCTGCTGGTGCCACTGATGTTGCTGCCAGTGCGTCTGGGGGGAGGAAAGGAGCAGAGTCAGGGTCTGGCCTGCCCCTGCCCTCCCCACAGGGCTCCGGGCAGTGCGAGGCTAGGCCAGGCACGGGAGGGCAGCCCTGGGCTGCTGGCCCCAGCACTCACTTGTGACCCATGCTCTCTGGCATGGTGATGATCTCTGGGGCATCAAAGAACTCGTTGTCATCATCCTCGTCGCTCATGTCTCCTTTCGCAGGACAGCATGGATCTGGGCAGGGGGAGAAGGATGGGCTCTATGTTTGGGCTCTCCTTGGCCCAGAGGGGGGACGGACAGCGAGTCCAAGGTCCCCAAGAGGGGCACTGGAGCTGTCTCCCATCACCATCGGCCAGGGAGGGGGCCGGCAGTCAGTTGTACGCCATCTCTGCCCACCCCAGCGCTAAGAGGCAGCAGGCAAGGCTAGTAGGAGTCAGGGTCACAGCAGATGGGGGAGTTTCTTGCATCGTGGGGAAGCGCTCTGCTGCAGCATGCTGTGGACGCTCAGTTACACAGGAGGGAGATCGGATAAATTCCTCACTCGGGGTTAGTGACATGAAGAAACCAAGTCTGGCTCAGGAAATGGCCTGGGAAACAGCTGGGGATTATCTAGAGAATATTACTGTTGGCTTTCCATATTCCACTGCCCCCTTAGCATCACCCTGGCATCAGCACTGCAGCTGCTTGCATTCCTCTGACTAGCACCCAGCACCCCACACAGGGGCCCCGCAGTACCTTTGACTGAGCCCCCAGTGCCAGGCGCATTAGCAGACAGGACAGTGGCGCCACGGAAAGCCCTCTCCAGGTGGTTGTGCTGCTTAGCAAGCTGCTCTAGTGTCTCCTCCAGGCGGATGCGCTGGTCCCGCTCATGCTGCAGCGACTTCTGCCACTTCTTGCTGTGGGTCTGGGCCAGCACCAGAAAATCCCGGCAGGCCTGAAGGGTCAAGACGCCCAGTCGGTGCACTGTTCACCCCACTATCTCCAGCACAGCCTCCTCGCACAGCGCAGGAGAGGCGCTAGATTTATTCCCCCCATGGGGCAGGGTACAGACTCACGTTGATCATGGCGTTGGAAGTGATACGGAAGAGGGTGGCTCGCTCGTTCACCTGCTTGATCTTCTCGGTGCTCTCGGCTGGCAGCCGGAGGGTCTCCAGCTCACTGAGGGAACGCTGCAGGGCCGTGCCGTGCTTGGCAATGAGGTCGTTGCAGGTGCTCAGATCCTCCACCTTGCTGGACAGGGTGCGCAGCGTGCTCTGCAGCTCTGTCTTGTCTGTCTGCGATACCGACTCATCGCCAGAGTCATCTGCCAGCAGGGAGGGTCATTAGTATGGTGCCGCTCGGCTGCAGAGATGCCAGGCCAGCCCCATTGCCTGTCAAGCTCCGCAGCGTGGCAGGACCGCGCCGGTGTCTGTCAGAGCGCGCAGCCTAGAGCTCCTTAGCTCCAGCCTCACACTGAAACCACCTACGAACCCCCCAGCTCTCATGTGCTCAGGAGCGACTGTGCAACGAGGTAGGTGTGCCCACCAGGGCAGGGCACAAGACCTCTCTCCTTCCTGTGGAGGAGGAGGAAGAAGGGATAGCTGTGCGCAGGGAACAACAAGACTGCCTCCTCTTGGAGGGCCATGCCAGCCTCAGACCACAGGGCTGCTGGGATGCAGTGCAGCGCAGCACGCTGCTGGCAGGAGCGGCACCCACGGGGTAGCATACCACTGCAACCACCACGGCGTCCTAGACTGAGGGGCCACGGCCACAGAGCAAGGCGGGAAAACGCCAGGGAGAGGCAGGTCAGAGCAGGTGGCTGAATTTCTGGGCACGTGAGAAATTACATGAACAAGGAAGCCAGTGCCAGGCAGTGCCAGGCTGCTGGCAGCTCTCCAGGCCAGAGCCAGGCAGCAGGGGAGCCGGCTCCGAACTGGCAGGACAGCACTGCTGAGCTTGCGCTTGGCCGAGCTCACCCGCAAGAGCAGAACGAGAAAACTGGAAACCCCCCAGGGCTGTCAGTGCTGTCAGTGCTGTCTAGGAGTCCTGGCTTCTCCGAGTGCCCATTCAGAGCAGGGCCCCGTGGCCCAGAGAGCAAAGCACGAGCCGAGAGCACAAGAGTACCCTGGTGGCTCAGTTAACCTGCCCGCTCGGTGTCTCAGTTTCCCCACAGCACGGACAGGGCTGTACCTTCCAAACCCTGCTTTGGGAGCAACCGCCCAGCAGCCCAGGTCTGAGATGCCCCTGCACAGCGTGCAGTGACTCCATCTCTGCAAAACAGCCCAGCAGGATCCCTGAGCAGACACAGGAGATGAATGGGGGAGGGGGAGACCCAAAACAAACAAATGAACCGAAAAACCAGGCTGCATTTCTGGCTGGCAGCAAACAAGGTGGCTTGGGAAACATAATGTGATACGTAATGGGCTCACGTTCTGCAGAGGGAAAAAACTGCCCCAAAAGCTCTGGGAGCAGGGCCCGCACAGGCATAGCAAGAGATGGGTACATGCGGCAAGGAGCTGGCAAGCTCTGGGGGCTGTGGCAGCGCCAGGAAGGACGCGCGGTGGCTCTCAAGAGGGTTGTGAAGCCCTGACAGAGGCGTCCAAGTCCTCGCAGCGCGCAGGCCATACCTGACTCTTCCAGCATCTTGACAGCTTTGGCCTTGGCCAGCTCTAGGGCAGTGACCCAGCGTTGCCGCTCCACCTCCGAGCTAGCCTTAAGATGGTAGGTCTGGGCACCGCCATTGGAGATGATGAAGTTGCAGGAGTCCTCCACGGTGATGTTGGCCGTGGCCAGGTTGATGGTGCCGCGGCAAGTGTGCCGCATCTCTGCTTTGGACCTGTGAGGGGAGGCAGACCAGGGGCACAGTGAGCAGGACGGGCAGTGCCAGGGGGCACTGCAGGGGGCACAGGACCCCCTGCAGCCCTGCCATGGGAGTGGATGCAGCTGGGAAAAGCGGAGCTGGCTGCGAGGGCTGGGATCACACACAAGCCCAGCGACCCGCTGCCCCTGTGGCCAAGGCCCCAGGAAGTGCCCAGCTCTCCTCGGTACCAGGGGAACGAGACAAGCCAGAGACGGGGGCCAACCTTCGCGCACAGCAGTGACAAGGGCTGGAGAGGGACAGCCCCTCACTGCCCTGGGCAGGCTGTCCTGGTCTCTCCCCTCTCTGGGCCGGGGCTGAGCTGTTCGGAGGCCATGGAAAGGGAGCCCAGCATTCCCCAGTCCGCAGGCAAGGCTATTAATAGGGTGACGGCTCCAAATTGGGCAATTTTGCCAAGCTGGCCGGGCGGCCGCACACCCAGTGGTGGGGGATTTTGTGTGCTAACGCTGCAACGGGGCCCGGACCGGCAGCACCACTTTGGGAAAAGACACCGGGAAGGGGTGTGCGGCTCCCAGCGGGGCTCCCCCCCCCCAAAGCAAACACAAAGTGACAGCTCAAAAGTCCCCGAGCAGCCACGTCACTTGGCTATAAACATGCCTTCACGGAGCAGAGATAGCGAGCACTTGTCCCCTCACTGCTGTGCTCAGCCCCAGTCCCACGCTCCCCGCAGAGCGCGGCTGCACATCTCCCTGCAGCCCAGGAAGAGGGCGAAGTTCCTGGCACAGTGTGAGGCTGTACCAGGCTGGCACATCTCCCGCTACCACCTTCCACGTCACTGTGCCCCGCCGGGCTGAAGGTGCCACCAGCCTCAGGGAACCGTGCCGATGCAGGGGACACCCGCGCAGCTGTGCCTGGCCAAGGGGCCACCACAGCCAGCGCCTCCCCCAGCCCGCGGCTCTCTGAGGACCTGTAACTCGAGCCAGCGGCTCCGGCTGCCCCATGAATAATGGAGGGCTGGAGGCGGACAGGGCAGGACCTCCGAATGGCTCAGGCCCTGCCCTCAGGGTGCCCACACCAGAGAGTGCCCCAAACCCGCTGCCAGGAGGTGAACGGCCTTGGCGCTGCTAGCTAGTAACCGACAGGGGCTTTCTCTCACACGGTGTTGCTCTGCTGCGGGGTTGCTCAGTCCACCTGAAGGCCACGCGCTGGGCCCTGCCTCGAACCCCTGCTGGTCCCAAAGGCGCAGGGGACTCGCACCGCACAGGCAGTGAGGGCAGGTGTCCCCGCACCGGCCCCGCTGGCGCCCACAAGCGGGCTGGGGAAAACGAGGCACGGCACGTTCAAACTCATCTGCTCCCAGACACGCGACCAGGCCGGTGGTCCTGGCAGGTGCTCCCAAGATAGCTCGGGACCCCCTCTCACACAGCCCCTCTCCTCGCAACCAGCAGCCTCCAGGATGGCTGCCCACCTCTCCCTCCGTTCAGGCTGCCCCGACACCCTCCCGGTTCAGACGCCCAGGCG